GGACAGCAGAGCTGGGACCTCAGGGGTGCCCAGTGCTTCCAGCAACCCGCCATTCCTTCCTGTTTGCCCTGACCTAGCTTGGTCTCCTAGAAGAAGTATCGGGAAGCAGTTTTAGATTGTGGGCCAAGGCCACAGACGTTCCAGAGCAGAGCATGTATGTGGGATGTGCCTGCCCAGGTGAGCTGCTTCTCCCTTCCCAAGACTGGAGGGAACAGGAAAAGTCTGGCTGGAATACAGGATCATTTGTAATCTGGAATCTTCAAAGCATGTGGCAATCTGGTTCACTTCTGGGAAGGTGGCCTGGTAGCCAGAGAGAGTATTTGCACAATGTCAAATCTCTGTTTCTTCCAAATCCCTGGTCTTGGAGCCAAGACTTGTTAACCCCGAGCCTGCAATTGGACAAGCCCCAGAGGAGGTGTCACCTGCTCCCACAACTGGGAGGCAGGATGCAGCCTCCATGCCTGTGGTGGCTTCTGTGTTCCTCTTAGCTTTCCAGCCCAGCACAGCTCACTCAGCAGGACCACTTTCCTACCTGGTGTGAGAGCAGAAATGACCTTGGACACCTCTGGCTCCAGTGGGGCTGTCTCTGGGAGTGGAGAGGGGTGGGCAGTGCTGTTGTCCTTCAGGAATGTCACAGCCCCAAAGCAGCCTGGCCAGGCCTAGTATGAGGAGCTGCCAAGATGGCCTTGATCTCAGGGCGAGCTGCTCTCCCCATGAGAGGGTTCCCCAAAAAGCTGCATGGGAGACAAGATTATGTGCAGGAAGTTGATTTGGGGAGATGATTCCAGGAACAGGAGGCGGGTGGGAAGGAATCAAATGTCATCCAGGGTGTGCCATCCCGGGGCGGGGCGGGGGAAGGGGGTGGCCCTCAGGGAACCTGTGGAGTGAGTCTCAGAATGTCCTCAGAAGCATGAGCAGGTGCCCCAGAGCCTGAAGCAAGGCCTCACAGTAGCCAGTGTCAACTCTGTTTCTAGTAGTCTGTTGGTGTCTGTATTCACAGTGGGTTCTTACTGAAGGAGAAATCAGGAAAGTGAAGTCCGCGGACCCAAGTGCCACCTAGGCTCACTTTGATAAGATCGAATGTTCACCAGAGGGAGAGAAATCCCACTGGTGTTTCTCCCATGTTTCCAGTTGGTTTGAATTTGCAAATCACTCCTGGGCTCCCTGGTATCATCCTGTTGGGAAATGATTGTGGGTTTCCACTTTCTAGGTCTGCTGGTTGGTTGTGTCTGGGGAGTATTGTCTTCCGTGGCTTCCTCAAGAAAACCTAGAGCTGTGTGATGAAATCTGGACTGGGGGTACAGAATCTAGCTCATGGACAGGCTGAAGGTGCTTTTCCTGAGTCTGAAAAAAATGCCTGAGTCTCTTCTTATTTAAAACAGTTTCCAGCAGATTTCCTTGGTGGTTTTTCCTGCCTAGCGTTGAATCTATGAATACCTTTCCAAATCAAACTCATGTAATTTCTTCTGTCTCCGAGAACTTTACCCTGAAGTGATCGGGGTAAAGGACAACAATTGTTTATTCTGTGCAGTTACATTTTCTCAGTGTCAACTTTCTGTAAGAAATATCACTGTTTCCTTTGGTTAATTGGCTCCACTCTTTCCAATCTGCAGGACCTGTTCTGGTTTGTTTTCAGTGCGTGCATTGAATATAATGAATGTTTCATTGCCCTGAAAGTTAGTAAGGATTTAATTTTAAAATGCATTTCTAATCATATAAATGCTATTGTACTTAGTATCATTCTTGAAAACATTCATGTTGAAAAATATTGGGACCATGTAGATGAAATCCGAAGTCCTGTGGCCACACCCCCACCCCAGTCCTCAAGGGCAGCTGTGGTTTCTCAGCTTGGAACAGGTCCTGCCTGAAGTTTTCCATGCACTTTGAATTGTTTTTGTGCCTTTTGAAATGTAATCCTGAAGCTATCCAACTGTAGAAGAGAACACACCGCTGGAAGTTTAATGCTGAACTCACTTAATATGAGAGTCTGTATTTCATCCAATTTAAAATGCCAGAGACTGAGTGGCACTATGATATGTCCATTACATTTCTTACAGTTTTGTGTTTGCATTGAGAATTCTGGTTAGAGACCCCATCTGTAAACTTCACATGCCTGTGATAAGCAGATAGGCAGCCAGTGTGGCGGCAGCCACAGCTTCCTTTCCCTCGCTTCTGATCCTATCTGTTTTGGAAAAGCTGCTTGTCTTGCTACCCACGCCTGATCAACTTTGGAGAATAGCCCTGACTGTTGGCGGGGGTCAATGGGGTGAGTGTCTCCAGAGGGACCTTGACCCTCCCCTCCACCCCACCTCACTTTCTCGAGTCCCCAGAGCTGTGGCTTAGCTCTCTACACACGCCTATGTCCTCTGAAATCTTAGTCCCCAGAAGGGACCCTAAACCTTTATGTCAGAATCTTGCATTCATTTTTATTGTCACAGGCTATTTACAAGTCCTTGGTTAACTTCTCTGTGAAATGATTTTGGTAGGTATATGCGATAGTGCAGGCAGGTGAAAACTATTACTTGCTGATTAAAGTCTCATAATTTGGGGGCCTCCCTGGTGGCGCAAGGGGTTAAGCAATGCACTATGAAGCAAACCGCGGCCTTTGCAGCACGAGTTCGATCCCCAGCTGGCCAGGGAGCAACCCACATGGCGCAGCAGACCTCTCCTGTCTCGCCCGCTGCTCCCCTCAGCAGTGTTTTTCAGTCAGTCTGCCTGTTCTGTTCCCCACTCTGTCTTTGGTGAATCCTCTCACCCCCCCACCCCGCATCTCTGACCTGTACCCCAGCTCTTGTATGCATAAATAAATGAATCTTTAAAAAAATAAAATAAAATAAAGTCTCATAATTTGGAGAGTTGTCAGATGAGTGTCAACTGGAGAAAGTTCCTTCCCAATCAGCAGAGAAATTACATTAAACGCTCTACCTCCAGGGGCAGTAGTTCTATAGTTCTTGTAGCTTGTGAGGGCAACTCAGGGTTGAGGTTCAGAAAGCGCTCTTCATGTCTCTGCTTCCTTAGCCCAGCCTACAGGAAGCGGGAGAGATGGGGGTGCCTCCCTCCCCTGTCCTCCTTTCTCCAACACTGGACACTCCCCCTCCTGGCTCCCACAAGGCTCCAACTCAACACCCTTGTAACACATCACTCCAAAATCACTGAAGCCTTTTACTTCCCCTCTTCCTGTAGCTGCTTTCAGTGTCAGGGTGAGCCCTATGTTTGAGGGATGTCCCCATCATGGGGGCAGATGCTTCCTAGACCTTCCCAACCTGCTGGCCTCCCTCATGGTCAGTGCTAACAGACCCTAGGCTGCCCACTGCAGCACCCCTGACCTCACCCCAAGACCTTGGCTGCAGAGGGGCAGAGGGTAGCCTTCACTGGGAAGGTTATTTGCTGCTTTCAGTGCTAGATCTTCTGTGGTTCCCCCCCACCCCCGGTCCTCTCAGCTGGCTCTGGACCCAGGGTGTGGGCACGGCATGGGTGGTCTAGTGGGTAGCTGGTAATGGACAGACTCCCTGGGTGATGTCCATCCCACACTCATCAACACACTCCTCTCCTGACCTCTGCAAACCCACTTAGAAACCAAATGCCCAGGCTTCTGAACCCCTCTGCCCAGGCCCTGGGACTACCCAAGCCTTTCTGACCCCCAGGCGCCACTTCCTCCCTGCCTAGAAGCCAAAGCCAAAGCACAGTGGCAGAGCTGTCTGTATGCACAGCAGCACCCCCTCCCCAAGGATCCTTCCCCAGGGCCCTGTGCTAGAAGCCCCTCCAGGGCAGTGGTCTGGAGGCTGGCATAGCAGGTCCTATAGCCTGCATTTCCCATGCGCATTTCAAATCCAGCAGCCCTCCCCTCAAGACAAGGCTGCCAGAAATGACCCCAGTGTGGGGCCCTGAAACTGCACTGCTGGTAAATTCCAGCTGGCTTTGTAGAGGAGGAAGAGGGAGGCGCTGGAGAGAGTAAGCTTTTGTTTTTAGAAGATTCCGGAAGGAGTGAGGAGTGGGGTGTTGAGTGGGAACACAAAGGTTGTCAAGGGATTGGCATTTTATGAGGGGACCCGTTGAACATCTAGTGAGCAGGGCAGAGGAAGGAAGGGCAGCCTAGCCACTTTACTTTACTTGCTTTCCAGAGCTGGCCGCGCAGGGCAGGAGAGGTCTGGGGGGCCACAGCCAGGTCCCTGACACCAGTCCCTTGCCGGCTCCAGCCTGAGTCAGTCAACACAGGAAAGATGAAATGTTTGGACAGCAGCCGAAACAGTCCTGCACGCAAGCTCCAAGAACACAGGCTGCCCCTTGGTTGTCTTGTTTGGTTTGTTAGTTTGGGCAAAGGGGAACTGCACTTTCTGGGTGAGAGCTCACTGGGAAATATTACATGCCTGCACCATGGCCCCTTTCAAGAGAAGGAGAGACCACCATGTCCTACCCTCTGCCCAGCACCTTAGCCCAGGAGCTGATTCCAGTGCCTCTGCTGTCCTAGTGTATACCAAAGGGGCTCAGTAAAGGCTTGTTGAGGGAAGATTGAATACCCCCATGAGCCAGTCTGTGTTATCCCAGAGGGTGGGGCCTCTTAGGAAAATTTCAAGTAGGGGGCCTGCCAAAACCCCAGAACTCCAGGTCTGAGCTCATGCATGCAGGCACCGGTTCACAAATGGGTCTGTGGTCAGTCAGTTTTGGGACGTGGAGGGGAGGGGGCTTTGAATAGAGTTACACTGAGTACATCCCCGCAGGACTCCCCTTCACCAAGGCCTGGGGTGCAGCTCATTTACCAAGGAAGCACCATCCATAGCCACATGGTCCTGGCAGCAAGGGAGGGCCGGGGAGCCCAGCTATTGTTGTGGGTGTAGCAGAGCCATGGGTCCTCCGGGTCAGAGCCCACCCCCAACCACGTGTCCAGCCCCCTGAGGCAGTAGAGTCCCTGCCAGCTGCACTGTGGCTGCAGCAGTGTACCCCACTGCAAGGAGACTCACCTATTCCTGAATCCCTAAGGTGAGTATTCCCTTGACTTTCAGGGAGAAGCAACTTTCGAGACCTTGCAGGAGTCAGATCCTGAGCTGTCCCCAGAGGAGAGGAGGATCCAAGAAAGGAAGCTGAAGAAGGAACGGAAGAAAGAGGAAAGGAAGCGCCTGCGGGAGGCAGGTATCAAAGCCCAGACCCCACCAGCCCAGCGCTCCGGGGCGGAGCTGGCTCTGGACTACCTCTGTAGGTGAGAAGCTACCCTCTGCGTGGGGAGGGTGGGGGGCTGACTGGGCTGCTCCATGGGTCTTTGGTGCCTGGGGGAGACTCAGCAGTAACATCAGGGGATCTGGTTCAATCCGTTCCCCTGCATCTGGTGTCGTGCTTATACTGCAGAAATGGCCAGCACCGCCAGTGAGCACAGCCAGCGTCACCAGCACAACAATGGCTCTCAGCAGCAGGAACCAGCCAGGTCTGCATTGACCAGCCTCCTGTAGGGTCTGTGTCCTTCTGAGGCCCCAGAAACAGCCTTCACCAGGACAGCGTCTTCTAGTCTGACTCGGGCTTAAGTGGTTCTGGGGCCTTCCGGGCTTCAGCTGCGTGACCTGGCCCTGCCCCACTCTGAGGCAGCCCTTTTTGCAGGAATCCTGTTTACAAGTGTCCATGGGCTCCAGGGAGGGGCCAGGCCAAGATGCTCTTCTCAGAGCTTTTTTTTTTTGTGGGAGAGAGATAGAGCACGTGTTAGAACAAAGGAGTCCCTGGAGAGAAATGCAGGTGGGGAAAAGGCAGACATGCCATGGACCTTGTCATTTTAATTCTGGAAAAGGTGACATCTGGGTGCAGACTATGGACCCAAGAAGAGCAGCCAGGGAGCCAGGAGAGGCCCAGGAGGGGTAGGGTCCATGCAGGGACCTGCAGGGTGGGCTCAGTAGGCCACTAAGACAGTGACTAAGAAGAATGGCAGGCTGAGCAGGACAGAGAAGATGGTGGGAGGGGGTGTACACTCTGCTACAGATAGCTGGCCATCAGCAGTTAAACTTGTTCCTCAATAAGGAGAAAAGCATTTATAAGTCTAAAGCAGAAAGTACTATTTCCACACCACCTGAAGCTTTGAGGTGGGTACAATGTAACTATAGTTACCTGGGTGGTGTGGGCTGCCCCTCCCAGGAGACCAGCACCCCACCTGGGCCACTTCTTGGTGGAGGCTGGGGGACTGTCATGGTGGGGACTTTGGCCAAATAGAATTCCCACTAGGATGAGGGGTTGGGAGTGAAGACTGTGACTGTGTGCTGTGTGACATGGAGCCAGTTAGCTTAGAGCCTCATCCAGAAGAGGGGGTAAAATTCACGCTCACTCAGGGCCATAGGCGTCAGGCATGGGACGTGACACATTGCCAAGGGCTTGAAATCCATGGCCTGTTCCTCTGGCTCCTGAGGTCACTAGCCAGGGTCTGCAGACAGCAGGACCCAACTCATGGGGTCAGGACCAGGTCCCTGCTGTGGGGAGCCAAGAGGAGACAAGGGACCAGCCCACAGACCACCTCTGAGCCCTTCAAAATACCACCTTTCCTGAATAGAAACCTGTTCCCACCCCACAGGATCACAGAGCCCAACCTTGTGAGCTGGGGACACCTCTATGCAACGCGAAGTGGGGCAGCAAGGGCAATAGTATTGTGTGCAGACCCACTGGGGGGGGCGGGGCGGGGATTGCTCCAGTCTTGGAGGGCCAATGAGCTGGTGAAGCAGCCAGAGACCTCCCTCTGACCCCACACCAGACTCAGCCCTCAGCTGTGGCCTGGCTCGCCCCAAACCCTGACTTGAAAGTCCCAGACACCCTCAGCAGGGTTCAGGAGATACTTCTGGGGCTCCCTGGCCAGCACCCAGATACAGGTGACAGGCCTGGGAGGTCAGGGCCCTTGCCCAGGGTCACCCAGCATGTTCCCAGTGAGGAGGACGTACCCTCTTGTCCTTCTCTGGTTTTTGGTGTGGCTCACCCCTAGTTGCAGTTTTTGTGAAGTGACACATTCTAGGCACTTGTGGCTTTGAGCTGGCTCTTAAATCATCTCCACACCAGAGGGTCATCTCCCTTACTTATTTTGGAGGAAGGAGGAATCCTTTTTCTTAAAATCAGAGGTTAAGCAGGATTCTGCTTCACACCCAGTTCATAAATCCCCCAGGAGGCCCTTTTCTCTGAGGACACAGGCATCACCTTATGATACCCCTTTCTCCCATCAAACCCAGGTAAAGGGCAAAGATGATCATGTCATGAGTCTGTTCATTGTCTACAGCTGCTCTGGGAAGATTGGAGGGAGGGGATGCACTGACTTACCCCACAAAACTGCAACTCATCCACTCTGGAGAGTAACATTCAGGGTAACAGTTGAGAGTGTGGCTCCCCACCAGGGTGGCTAGGGTGGTTTCCCTCCACTCTAAGTCCCCAGGGCTGAGAGTAGAATCTCTTCATAAGGATCTGAAGAGGAGAGAGCTGCTCCCCAAAAATGAGCTGCCCACCATGCTTCTTGTTATGGCGAGTACTGAGTACTGTTACTTCATGCTCACCTGTCCCCTCTGTGTGAACGCCGAGTGAGCAGCTGACTGTGTCCTGGACATACGGGTGAGGGGTTAAGATTGGTCACGCTCCAGCTAGGCCACTGTCACAGTAGGGACTGTCCAGCCCGGGAGCCCCTCAGTCAGGGTTCTGGTTCCTGCTCGCTGATGCTCCCTCATCCTCCATACACAGCTCATGTCTGAAGGCCGTGCCCCTGCAGGCAGACAGTCTGCCCCAGCACGCAGTGAATGCTTCTGGAATAGTCACTGCACTCACAAGTCAGAACTTCAAAGTCAAGGATTGTAAAGCACTGCTCATTCCATTCAGGTGCAGGTGTGGGGACAGGCCTGAGGTGGCTGCGACCCAGGACAGGTGTGCAGAGGTGAGGTGTCCTCCCAGCACATGACTCTGAGCCCTTTGCTCTGTCTGCTGCCTCAGGCTACAGAGGGTTCCCCCAGAGCCTGCACCCTCCCCCACCTGCCTACCTAGAAGAAATCACCCAGGCCAGTCAGTACAGATAGACCTGCTGCACCTGGGCTGCCTCTGATGAATGTCATGTCCTTGCTTCCCAGCTGGGCCCAAAAGTGTAAGAACTGGAAATTTCAGAAGACGAGGCAGACCTGGCTCCTACTGAACATGTACGACAGTGACAAGGTCTGTGGGGAGGGGAGAGAATGTCTGTGCACACCAGGTGTGGGGGGAACTGTGCATGCTGTGGGGGAGGATGGGAAGGTCTCTGCACACTAGAGGGCTAGGGAAGGGTCAGGTCCCAGCTCCTCGCCCCCAGCAGCCTGGCCTGGTCAAGCTTATGAAAGAGGCCACAGTATGTGTGGTAGAGATCCAGCACAGGCCTTAATTTTACAGAAATGAAATCTAGACTCAGATTTCAGCTAGTACTGAAATCCAGATCTAGCTTGGGGCTGGGGGAGCAAAAGCCCCTGCCAACCTGCCCCAGAGGGTCCTCCACAACCTCCCTGCTTGGTCCAATAGCCAGGCTCAGGCCTGTGGCTTCTGGGCTCCACAGACTGGGCTGTAAGCCTGCCCGCCCTGAGCACACCCTCCCGAGTAAGTGCCAGGAGTGTCTCAGTGCTTGTCCATCTTGACCCCTTCCCACCTGGGGGCACTGAACTGGTTTTGAGGGTGTGGGACTCCCCCATACCTAGAAGACTCCACATCACCCCCCAAATACCCCAGAGCACAATCCCTATAAACAGTAACCTCAGCAGCCTCAGAACCAACCAGAATCACACTCACTTGTGTGTCCCCTCTCACCTGACCTGTGTGGCCCTGACATGGAGAGGCAGTGGGGTCACGTATCAGGTGGCATGTGCTCCCAGCACAGCGTCCTGTAGCAGGACACGATGAAGGTTTGGTGTGGTGTGGATCTGTGATTCAGGTGTGTCACCGGAATTTCTGTCAAGTCACCTTTTAGTAACTAGCGTGTGACCGTGGAGCTGCTTTGAGATTATGGAAACACCAATTCTTGTCAGTCTTTTACCCTTTAATCTCAGCATCCCTGGTGTGTCTTGTCTGTCAGTTATTACCCAACAGGTTTAATTTTCATGCAGTCTGATCATTCTATGTTTTCCTTTGGTTGCGTGTGATCTTTGGTTTTATAGCTAAGAAATCATTGCCTAACCCAAGGTCATGAGTTACTCCTGGGTTTTCTTTGAAGACATTTGTAGTTTTTAGTTCTATGTGTAGGCCTTTGGTCCATTCCAAGTTCATTTTGTGTGTGGTGTGAGTAGGTTTCTTCTGCATGTGGACATCCAGGTGGGCCCCAGCACCATCTAACAGAAAGACCCGCTGTTCCCCCCAGGGGGGTCTGGGTACTCTTGTTGCATCCTAACACCCTACAGTTTATTATTCAGTCTGCCCCTGCCAGAATGTGAGCGCCATGAGAAGGGGGCTTGTCTCCTTCACTCACCCCTGGATCCTGGGCCTGACACATTGAGAAGGTGCTTCGGAGATCCCTCTGGGGGCCTCCTGTGCCTTCAGAGCCACCCTGGAAAACGGAGCATGTCTCTCTGAATGCCGGGGACAGGGGGCTGATGGAATCCAGCGGCTTTCCAGAGAGGGCACAGTTGCTGTTTTGGAAATGGATAAATGAGGGAATGGAGGAGAGGGCGCATGAAGGAATGGAGGAGGCATGGAGGAGGCAGTGGATGAATGAGGGAGTGGACAAGGGAATGTGTAGGTGTGAGCCTGTGAGCCAGGAATAGTGTCTCCTTTAGGGCCTAGCAGGCAGCGGCAGTTAGCTCTGGAACACAGACTACTCTGGGTCAGAGGGAATGACTGTGTGAGGGGCCCAGGGGAAGCCAGTAGGGGAGGGTGCTAGAAAGGAAGGGAAAGGCTATGCTGGCTGTTTTGGGTCTAAAGTCCTGGGACCTCTGTGTCCTGATAGCAAGAAGTCCCTCCTCCATTCAGCAAATATTTTCTGGCCCATGTGGTTCAGTGAGGTGGGGGGGGAGGCAGGACTGGAGTCTTAGTCAAGGGCTGGGAGGGTTTTAGCTGCTTTGCCCCTGGTCTTCAGGGAGGTGTTCCATGGTTTATACTTAGGGAGCCGTTTAAATAGAACTGGATGTGAGTGTGCGCTCCAAAGACTCTTCTGATCATCAAAACCTCTAGTGGTCTGACTGCCCTTGCATGTCTGCCCCTAATGTCTCTACGACCCACCCACTGGACGGAGGTACTTGGAGCTACTTCCTGGCCCCTTGAGTCTTTGTGGGAGGCCACAGCTCTCCCTTCTTGCCACTCTTGCCTCCCTTTGCACCACACCCACCCCAGATTCACAGCAACCTGCGCAGAGTAAATGTGGAGCTCTGACTGGAGATGGGAGAGCTTGGACTTGCCCCTCCCCACCCACCTCTCAGGAGCCTGGCTCTCTGGATGGCAAATTATAGGTCAGAGATTCTCAGGACCTTCTCCATACAACTCAGACTCTGACTAACAACCTTTGACTAAGACAGCCCAAACCTGTGGTCCCTTTCCAGCTCATCTGGGGAGACCCTGCATTGAGTGACCCCCTGTACATCTGCAGCAGTAATTGGGAACTCTGACTACACATGGCCTCTCTCTACCAGCTCCCTTCTGTTCCAGAGCAGTGATGGGGCTGGCCGCTGGGGCCAGGCAGCAGATCTGTCCTGGACATCCCCCTTCCTGCCATAGGGTCCTATCTTTGGCCTGTGTCCTCTGCCTCCTGGCCTTCTCCTGTGGCCCTGGACCTGCTCCCTTCAAGCATCTGGCCACCATGGAGAGGTGGTTAAGCCGGTCTCTTCAGCTATGTATGCCGCACACCTTGGCCTCTGTGAGTCTCTCCAGGATACCCATCTGGATCCTATAATGCAGCTGCCTGTGACAGCAGAGGCCATGGCCTGAAGCAGGACTGCTCCGGTGGTCTGATGCATGCAGTGCCCAGTCTTCCTATGCAGTTGTTTGAGGAAACTGAGCTGGCATCTGCAGGAGCCTTGCTTCCGTATTCTCAGGCAAAGGCAAACACCGGCGTGACCTCATGGCGGCCGTCTGCCTGTGCAGTGTGCACAAGCATGTGCATGTGTGCTTCTGTGTACCCGAGTGTTCAGAGCATTTCCTTTCAGGAGCAGAACATAAGATTGGGTTTCACAGTGTGAAGAAGGTCTGGAAGCAAAGCCCACAGCTGTGATGTCCTTGCCCAAGTTGCATTGGCCCTGTCCAGCTGAGTCTGCACATTTCTGCCAGGCCAGGTGGCCGTTCTGCTTCCCGCCTCACTGTCCCTTTTATGTCAACATTGGAAGATCCAGACTTATTGGTTGCTCTGTGGGTGTGCTGCTGGGGTGCAGGGGATGAACAGGACAAAGTTGCCTCCCATTTGCCCGTTCCTGCAGCCACAGCAGGTGGGGGGGCATGCCTATTGGTGCTCCCTTGGCCCTAACTCACTGAACCAAGGTGATCCAGGCACAGACCATGACCGCTCTTCTGGATTACGCTTCCTGCACTGGGGCCAAGTGCCAGCACCCAGAATAGCCACAGTCTTAAAATAGGAGAACAGAGTCAGAGGTCTCACACTTCCCAGGTTCAAAAGCCACCATAAAGCTGTATTAGTCAAGACAGTGGGTACTGACGTAAAGACAGACACACAGACCAACAGAGCAGAGTAGAGAGCCCAGAAGTAAAACTTCACATTCACATGAATTGGTCTTCAAGGTGAAAACCAAGACTGTCCAGGGGTAAGAAGTGTCCTCAATGAGTAGTGCTGGGGCAGCTGGTCATCCACACACAAAAGAATGAAAGTAGACCTCAGCCTCACACCTTAAGTGAAAGGGGTGAATCGTGAGTCACAGACCTAGATAGAAAAACTAAAACTAAATCTCTGAGAAGAGGATACAGGCGTGCATTTCATGACCTCAAGTCAGGCAGTGGTATCTCAAATACAACTCTAAAAGTACAGTGACAAAAGAAAATGAATAGGATTCCTTCAAAATTAAAAACTTTACTACAAGCAATACCATCAAGAAAGTGAGATGACAAACCCCTGCAACGGGGAAGATATTTATAAATCATGTGTCTAATAAGGGACTAATGTCTTGAATATACAAAAAACTTTGCTAACTAATAAAAGGATATTTAGTCCAATTTTAAAAGGCAAAGGAGCTAAATAGACATTTTTCCAAAGAAGAGATAAAAATGCCTAGTAAGCTCATGAAAAGATGCTCAAACCACAGCAAGAGATTCTCACATCTACCAAGGTGACCAAACCGGAAAGACAGATAATAAGTGTTGTTGCAGACAGGAAGCTTTTTATTCTCTGACTATACTTCTACTTTTTATTCTCTGAATATGCTTCTCTGAATATACCTCTTATTTTATAAATGCAATATATACCTTCCTATTTGAGGATATTAATAACACATTTTGGTGATTTACTTCTCCCCTATGACCTAAGTTTTATCCAGTTTGCTTTTGGTTTGTTGTTTGGCCTCTGGCTTCAAATATAGAAGCTTTCTTCAGATAGCTTAGTGCCCTATGGTGGCAGAACTTTGTGCTCTTAAGAATTAGAACGAAGGGGCCGTACTCCTCTGGCATCAGCTCAGTGTTGCACCTATGTTAGAAGTGTACAGATGGGAACTCCTGGATTCCTCCTGTAAGATCAGTCACCTAAGGCCACAAAGTAATACCTATGCTGAGCTGCTCTGTCCTAGGCAGTCAACAGAGTAGGTTCCTTTTTGTATATGTGGAAAGCCTTTAAATCTTGGATCCTTGGCGACCCTTAGAGCCACTAGATGCTTCCATCCCAATTTCTCAGCTTCAGCCATTAAACAGTACAAGGCACACACATGGCAGGCAGTTCATCACTGACTGCACTTTGGCAGAGAGTGGTGAGGGGTGCCCCGTTTTGTGTTTTTTGGAAGCATGAGCAGAAAGGGTATTAGGTGAGCTCTCTTTACTTAGGTGCATGGGCTCTTTATTTTCTTCCTTTCCTACATGCTTTTTTTTTTTTTTTTAATAGAGGCATGTTTTATTTATTTGTTTGTTTGTTTGTTTTGTTTATATATGCACTGGGTACAGTCAGAAGTGCGGGAGGGTGAGAGAATTCACCAGAGTCAGAGCAGGGAGCAGAACAGGCAGAAGGACCGAAGTACACTGCTGAGGGGAGCAGCGGGCGGCAGGAGAGGTCTGCGCGCCATGTGGGACCCTCCTCCGGTGGCCGGGGAGCAGCCGGGAATCGAACCGGCGCCGCAGATGCCGCGGGCAGCTTCGCAACCCAACGTTCAACCGCTGCACCACTGGGGAGGCCCTCCTACATGCTTTTTAATGGGCTTCTGACATTTTCACTGTCCTCACTCTTACTAGAAGTGGTTGGCACAGCCAGTACTGGAATTTTGGCGTGGGTAGGGGGATGATCTGCAGCATCATTTGGTTTCGCAGCTTAGGCCTCACCTTCCTCACTGGACTCCAGCAGGCTGGCTCCTCCCTTGTCTCCCTGTCCCTGTCCTGTCATCCAGTAGGACAGAGTGGGAGCAGATGCTTGCCCAGAGACTGGTGTGGTGCCCTCTGCTGCCTGGTTGCCTGAGCTCCTCCGGCCCTGGCAGCAGGATCCTGTGGGATGGACAAGTCTCCTTTCAGGCACAAGAGCAAAACCCGTAGCACTGGCTGCTGGGCCAGGAGCCCTGGGCCTCACACCACAGACATCTTGCTTTCCCACTGTGTCCATGTTTCCCCTGCTACCCCTGCCTGGCCCCAACCCACCCGCTTCTTCTCGTCCTTCCTGGGCAGGTTCCCAGTGAGCACTTTTCCACCCTGCTGGCCTACCTTGAGGGGCTGAAGGGCCAGGCCCGAGAGCTGACTGTGCAGAAGGCTGAAGCCATGATGCAGGAGCTGGACAAGGAGGGCGCCGGCGACCCAGAACCCCTGCTGCTGGAGAAGATGCAGCGCATCCGGCAGGTGCTGCAGCTGCTCTCCTAGGGGTGGCCAGCGGGCAAGGCCACTGCCTGCAGCAGAACCGGGTGGCCCTGGGCCTCTCAGGATTCAGCCCGAATGCCTTCTTCCAGCAGTGGCTAGTGGCCTGGGGGCCTCCAGGTTCAAAGTCATGTACCTCCTGGTCACCAGACACAGGAAGAACTGCCTTTCTCTCCCCTGACCTTCCTTAGCTGGAAACTGTGTATAGATCATGTTGGTTTTCGATGCCTCACTGAAGAACATGGTGACGTAACCTTGAGACACTAGTCCTGCCTCGGTGGCCTTCCATCGCCTGAGGAAACTGCTTTCTGACGGAAATGTTTCTTTCCACCAGGGACGCCTTAGTGATTGATCAGAGGTGGCCTTTCCCACCAACTGCAGTTCATCAATGTTGAGGTGTGAGGGGTCCCCAGAATTTGGGCCTTGCATTTGCCAAAGTGTCCTGACTGTGGCTTGTCCTTTCCCCGGCAACCTCCCCGGGCCATTCCACAGCCTCACTTGACAGGGAAAATCCGGCTGTATTTTCAATAAATCAAGCCTGAGTTGGCTGAGGCGCTTGTTCTATGCAATTCGTTCTCATATGCCTGCAGACTATGTAGCGCTTTTCCTGAGGGTGAGCATGTGTCGGGCCAGGAGGCCACCCACAGCTGTGGCCTCCCTGGGATGGCCCCCGGGCCAGCACCTCCCACACACTTTGGCTGTGGACTGACTGACCACTAACTCGGCAGGCCTGCCACTTCCAAGTATTGGCAGGGAGCATGTTCCAGCCCGGAAATGCCTGCTCTCTGCACAAAAATAGAAGAACACGTGGACCCAGAACCCCACAAGCCCAGGGCTCTGAGTTTCCCAGGCTGCACCAGGGAACAGTGGTCCTTGCTTGTCAGCCAGCAGCTAGGGCCTGAGACACCTTCAGGAAGGCGACCTGCATCATAAAATGGTGGATTTAAAACTGGGCCTTAGGGCCTTTGACACCTCCCCCCTGAGCTCAGGCCCCTCCCAGTGTGGCACAAAGCACAAGTGCCACTCGACTCTCATCACACTCATCCTGGGGATTCAGCCTCTCAACACCCCAGTTGGCACTCAGGCCATGGTAGGTCCTCTGATGGCTGCACTGTGTGCCCCTGCTGCCCCCTAGCAGAGTCAGTGTTATTGGGGTGCAGTAGGCGATCAGAACACTGTGCATCTTGGTTGGTTGGAACACATAGCATAATGTTGTTCACTGCAACGCTAACCATGTGGTACAGGCACAGGCTAGGGTCTCAGGCTTCCCTAGCCTGGCTGGGCCTCCCTGGCTGTGGTCCCCAGGGATACCACCCCAGCACAGTATCCCCAGCCTTGCTTTGGAACCATCGGTACCTGCCGTGACTTTAGCTCCAGTTACGATGAAAAACTTTGTGGACAGATGCTTCTGGTGACGGTAGGTCCCTGTGGTGGGGTGATCTGAGCTCGAGAGCTGGACCCACATGTCCAAAGGGGCTGGGCAGATCCCACCCGCTTCTCGCCTGTAAGAACAGACTCCGAAGATCACACACACACACACACACACAAACATGCTGCCTGTGAACAGGCGTACTGCTGTGTGGTTGTGCTGCTGTGTGGTTGTTTGCCGACCCCATCTCGCACTGCAGGTGCATCTGAAAGCCTCTTCTGTGTGGGAGTGACTGGACCAGCTTCTTCTTTGGCCCAAGGATGGCCATTAGAGACAGAGCGAGGAGGGCAGCTGAGGGCAGAGGAGCTTCTGGAGACCCCTGCCCCTGCCATGCTCTCCAGCCCTGTGTGTGTGCATGTGCCTGCACCCTATGGGTAGCAGCGACAGCGGGTGGCTCTGCTGACTTCCCAGTCCCCAGAAGAATGTCTCCTCTCGGGATGGAACCTGGTGTTCCATCAGGTGACATCATAAATGGGAAAGCACTTGTGAAGCACAAGTCAGTGCAAGTCTGTGAAGTGGGTCAGCAGCCCAGCAGGGCATCCTGGCTCCACGGGTAGTCCATGGACACTGGAGCAGTTGGGGTGCCGCCTCACTGTTCTTCAGCTGTGAAACATCTTAAAAATACACTGAGAATTAGGCATACAGAAGCCCCACAAGATACAAAGAACATGCCTTTGCAGTAATCAGCATCAAGAACCATGGTTCTGTGTTCCCCAGCACCCAAATCGAAAAGGGAAAGTTTCCCTTGTTTTTTCATGGAGAAGGGCCCTGGAGAGCTGGACTCACCCCCTCATTTGAGCACAGACTCCCCTAGACACCAGCTCAAGGAGGGCTCTTCCTCCCCAGGAGATCCCGACAGAACCGAGTACAGTTCCCTTGGTAAGGGGAGATGCTGCAGATGTATCCCATGGGGCAGAACTCAGGAAACAGGCAGCTCCTGGGGGTCCCTATGCCAGCCAGATGTGGCGCTCTGATGAGACCCCAGGGGCAGCCAAGGTGGAAGTATCTGAGGCCTGGGCCAAGCCATGGAAGGCAGGGCAGCGTGCCCAGACTTAGGGCTGGCAGTGAGTCCAACTCACCCAGGCCTGCCTGGGACCTCTGGCCAGCAGCTTCCTCATAATGGCTATTGTTTTTCCTCTCAACATGCCTCCCCAACTGGAAAGAACCCAGCTGCCCATCAGAAAGCGAAGGGATAAACAAAGTAAGCGCTACTGGGAAATAGGAGAGAACTATTGATTCAGGCGACGTCAAGGCTGCATCTCAAAAGCAGCGTGCTGAGAGAAAGGAAAGCAGGCTGCGCAAGAGCATGCGTGGGGTCCCACGTGAATGAAACCCTAAAAACAAGCTGCTCTTGATGACAGAGCACGGCAGTGGCTGGGTTCAGGGGACACAGAGACTCGGGAGGAAACAACTCATGTCTACACGGGTGTGCTGTTCCAGAACACACCACGCTGCACACTCGAGCGACTGTTAATAACAGCACCACAAGGCTGACCAAGGAATCCGGTCCCCAGAGGGGAGCAAGGCAAACCTTTCCCACAAAGCTGGAGGCCAAGCACTTTGCTCCAGAAGGAAAATGTTAAAACAGCATTTTATGTTAAAAACAGGCATGTTGTTGCTTCATGTCCATTCTCATCCTAGCTCTGTGTACCCCTCTCGTAGTCAGGAGTGCTGTTAGGAAGAATGGTGTTCTCTGTGGGGGCATGGGTGGGACAAATTAGGAACCTTCTGGACCGAGGGGCGGTGGGAAGCTCCTCAGCCCTTTGAGGCACAAATCTGAGGGAAGGTGGAAGCGTCCTGCTCAACCCATTGATATGTGCCTTTGTCCTCCAACCAGGAAAATGAGGATTCTTCTACCTCATTTCCCAGCATAGCTCTTCCCCTCAGTTCAGGCCCCCAGTAGAGTCGAGTCTATCTTTATATAAGCATGTATTCTGCCTTACATTCTTCTGGCTCTGTAATGCTTCTCCAGCCAGAATGTCTTTGGGTGGGGGTGAAGGGGTGGAGAGATGGAGGGGGTAGGGCGACCTGCCCTGCCCAGTGACAGGAGGGCGACTAAGAGCAGAGGGACCCCGAGGGCCTGCCCCGACATGATCTTCAGCCCTTGCGTGCATCTGTGTGTGCTTGAGCGCACAGGCACCTACACCCCGCGGGTAGCAGTTTCACTGGTGGCTCCACTGGCTTCCCAGAAGAATGTCTCCTCTTGGAGCCCCATGGGCCTTTGAGCTGAGGCCACAGCAGCCTGTGTTTGTTCAGCAGAGTTTGCTTATGGTTTGGGGGCTGCGTGGTTTTGTTTTTCTTTGACTTAGGAGAGATACTGCAAGGCACATGCGGTGTGGCTGGGGGCCAACCCTGGAGCCGGTGACAGATCTGGAGCCCAGAGCAGCCCCAGAAACTCCCTCCACTCCTGACCCAGTGCAGGATGCAGAAACAGACATCGAGAGAGCCCGTCGCCTCACAGCATCTGGGGAGCCTCGGGTGGATGCTGGCAGAGGCTTCTCCCAGAAGCTGTGCAGTGTGGGGCTGAGCTCACTGGAGGTGCAGCCAGCAGGAGACAGCATCCAGAACTTGGACGTGACCGTCATGGGATGAATGGATAAACACAACGTGGTCCATTCACATCACGGCAGATCATTCAGCCTTAAAAGGAAGGGAATGCCATTGCTACATTCCGGATGATCCTTGAGGACATATGCTGAGTGAAATAAGCCAGACACAAAAGGACAAACGCTGTGTGATTCCACGTATGTGAGGTCCTTAGAGCTGTCAGAGCCACAGAGGCAGAGAATAGACGGTGGGTGCCAGAGGCTGGGGGAGGAGATGGAATAGAACTCTAGATTGGAATGATGAGAAAGTTCTGGTGATGGATGGTGGGGATGACTGCCCGCCAGTGTGAATATTAATGCCCCAAATGGATACTTAAAAAAGGTTAAGATGGTAAATTTTATGCATGTAAATGCATTACAATAAGATATGATAATAGAATAGGAAAAATACAAAAACAGAAGCCACCCAAACCAACTAGGTGGTTGAAGCAGAAATGACAGGTGACCCATCACCACCCAGACTGGGTGTCTGACCCCCTGAAGTTCCGAACAACTGGTCTATGGGTGTGGGGGTGGGTCCTCGTGTGGAGGGCAGGCAGCCCCAGCGTGGGGCCCCCCCACACCCCACTGCTCCATCCTGATGTGTTAAATGCAGCTCTGATAGTTGCTCGCTCTGTTTTTATTAAATTATATTTTTATCACTTGAAGGTGGAGTGTTGATACTGCCTAGTTTGCAGGGGGTCTGGCTTTATCTCCTGTGGAAAGGCTAAGACCTCAGCCTCAGTTTCCTCATGTAAAATGGGATGAGAGGTGGTGAGTCAGGAGGTGGAGTGATGAGCGCGTTCATCTTGGTCTCGTGTGTCAGAAATCGCACACCTTCAGGTTGTTACATGATTTTTGCTTGTCAGCCTCAAGCAGGGAGAGGGATCAGTGCCTCCAGATTGTCTTGATTCTCTGGGAAGGCACCCAGGGCCCTGCTCCCCTCTGGAGCACAAACTCCCTGCCCAGCCTGCCTCAGGTCTTTGTCTGGACTTTGGTGACTGTCCACTGGGGTGGCAGGGGCCCTAGAAGCAGCTGGCATGGGGGGGACCTTGAACCAGATGACCAACATATGCATGCCCACTAGGGCATCAGGCTGTGGCCATCCTGTGGCAGGGACCAGAAGCTTCCTCAATGGGCCACCAGGACACTGAAGTCATTCGTGGACCTGGTTGGCCCAACCCCACCAGAATGTCAGACATGCCTCCTAAAGATCTACCAGAGCTCCCCACCCCAAAACAGGGTTCCTGAACTACACCCGGGTGTACCCCTCACCATGTATGTGGAGACCCTTCAGGGTCCTCCAAGTCTGACAGAGCCCTCACTGCTCAGCCCTGCCCCCGATGCGGTTCAGGGGCACCACTATCCGCTGGTTCTTGCTCTCACCTGCAGGACCTATGGGGATGGGGGGAATCCCAGCCACAAGGACCCAGAGCTGCACATTTTAAAAACTAAACTTTCCCACCAGGATCTCTACCTTCCAACTGAGCACAAAAGCTTTTTAAATTTGTGCTTGGCAAATTAAAACAAGTCCCATAAAATATCCACTAATTCATTGGATTCTTTTGAGAAAACTTAAAAGTCAGCTTTGAACGTAGTTCATTTGGACACCTGTTCTTACAAATTACAAAAGTGTATCTCAGTTTCTGCGTCTTGCTGTTCCGAATGAAGCTCACTCATCCCCAGAGGACCTGAACCTGGCTCCTACTGGGAAGTGACTTTCTTAAACAGGGTTGTGCTGGAATTACAACAAAGTGAAGGTCATTGGTAAAATCAACTCTTTTAAAAGTAATGATTTTAAAAAGGCCTCCACCTCCTCCCTTCAGAGCCCATACCCGGGAGGTGGACTGAGTCTCTTCAAACTACAGTTTCTTGGAAAAGGGTTTTCCGCTGCCATTCTGGAACGTTCCCCTGCATTCCAGGGTGTTCTGAGTTGTTCACCAGGATGAAGTTAGATCAGATTCCTGCCAATTTTGTAGTATGAATTTACCCAAAAGCACCCCCCTATCCAGTCCAGGTGGATCCCCAGCCTTGGGAGGTCCCCTGTGCCCCTTGGTGTTAAAATATTTCAGACAG